TAAAGCACTGGATATGTATTTTCCATTATACAAATTTAATTCTTTGTTTATAGGTTCTGTCCGTGTTGGCTCTTGTGGCAGCAGTATCCTGCCAAGAGCATTATCAACATCAATACAAGACAATCATCAAGCACGAGGAGCCAAAGAAAATTGAGGTGCACCATTCTCAGCCCATTCATGTTTCCGAGTATCATGCAGCTCCGATCCAGACCATTCACGAGATCCACGCGGCACCTCAACAGCACTCTGGTTATCATGCCGTGTCCTCACAAAGTATCATTCGTCATGATACCAAGAAGGAGGAAGCCCCACAGCACTATTTCGTTGCTGCCCAACCCGCCCCGGTTCATGAGGCAGTATCTGTCCATGCCGTGCCCGTTGTCAAACACGTACCTATTGTTAAACACGTGCCAGTACATTACGAAGAATCTCACAAGGAAGAGTCTCATCATGAGGATTATTACGTTAGTATTTTTTTTTACTATTTTTCAATGAGCCACAGAATGAGAGATATGGACTAAAAATATTATTCAATTTGTCTGATATTAAATCATTATAGTTTTTAATAACATCATAGTTGTAACATTCATTTCCTTTTTCCAGGCGTACCCTAAGTATGCGTTTTAATTATTCCGTGGAGGACCCACATACGGGAGATCACAAGACCCAGCACGAGACTCGCGATGGTGACGTCGTGAAGGGTTTCTACTCTCTGCATGAACCTGATGGTTCAATCCGCACTGTTGAATACGCAGCCGACAAAAAGAGCGGGTAAAAATATTATATCTCTTTTACTATTATTACCGTACGTTACTTGTGCAAATAAATCATGCACACAACTGAACTCTGTAATTTTCAATAATAAAAGTAATGCGATCGTTACTTTAAAAGAATTTAATCTAATTTTTGATGGCGATATCAATTTGGTACTTCGGGACGTTTAATTATATATATCACCGATAACATTAAATTATATAATAACAAATACATATTGTTTCAGATTCAATGCTCAAGTAAAATCCACGACGAAGCACGTACAACAAGAGCATCATCATCACCAGTAATCAACCCTCCACTGACTGCTAGCAATGTTAGTTAAACTTATTTCTTAAGTTGTTAATAAATGTTATGAAAAGCTATCTTATTTTTAAATACTTTCGATTTATCTTTCTCTTATCGTCTAATCTAATCTTCATAATTATCATCCTATTTTATATCTCTACTCTTAAAGCACAGGTCTTCTTTAGACAGAATAGAATCGAATATGAAGAAGGGCTCATACACACCAAGCGGGCGGAGTTAGTTTTTAACGAATGCAAATGCTAACTAAACTGCCGTCCGAAAAATAGAGAAATCCTATGACGGCTGGGCATAGGATGGGTTCGTACTTCCTTTCCTAAAGACCTAAACTCGATGGTATTATTTCGTCATTAAATAAAATGCTATTTGATACTATAATGACGGGCTTTGTAACAAGAGAATTAAAAAAGAATATTCACATTCATATTCATTTATTTGTCCATAAGCACAGCCATAATTCACCTTAGTTGATATATGAGCATTAAAAAAATAAGTTAATACAAATAGTTATGTCAGATTAAAATAAAATGTCATTTATCAATAAAAATAAAAAAATTACGAGTATCAATGTCAAACTATGTCAATTAAAAACTAAGAACTTAGTTATTTTTTTTTTGTCAATTGTTATTAAAATCATCATTTAAATTTTTTTTAATGTCATAATAAGCTTTTATATATCTTATAGAAATTGGTGCCATACAGTTTACGCAAACGGTACTGAGAAGTTTTCTATAGACATGTGTGACTTTCAGACTTCCAACAGGATTTATATTAAAATATTGTTGCTAGACGACAGTTTAACAATTTTATGCTTACGAAAGTATGGTTCACACGAATCATCCTGCATTTGACATTGAACCGAGAGTTTGTTGACTTGTTTGTTGAAAGTTTGTTGTTGATGGGGGGGGGAGAGAAGCACCCCACAGGCTTTAGGTTGAAAGGAACAAAGCTAAAAACTTGTTTTAACAATCTTTTTTTTTTAAATTGGGATTAGATATACAGATTCGCTCGATATGGTCCTTGTGGCTTCTATTCGGAGGACTTATCTTTAAATTGAAAAAGAGATTTAATGTCAAGTTCGTGGGGTCAGAGTGTCACGGGCCAGGCAGCGTCTGGCATGTGTGTAGGTATACCCGACGTCAGCTCCGGTTAGCCGTACCACGAAGTCTAGACGACACGTAGGACGCAGAGTAGCATAGTTCAGGTGGGCTCCGTTGAAAGAATCCTGTGAACATAAATACAGCCCATGAACAAAACTTCAATAGTTCAGCTACCTGTGATCTACAACAAATAAGATAAAAAATCTAACCGAAAAAAATAGTATTTCAAATGATATTAAAAATCATTTAGAACGAAATAAATAAAAGATATCATCTTTTATTTATTTCGAAGTTCGAAGATAACAATCAGAAGTTAAAAAAAAATACAAACACCATTGTTTTAAAATACACGGAACTTAAACCCGTAGTTCAAGTAAAATTAAAGTGCTAAGTGTTCGATTTAAAATCGTATAACTTTCAAGATTATAAAATTATTTATAGCATAATTCGGAATTATTTATAGCATAGCCCGGGAATCGAACCCGAGATAGAAATAAAATCACAAATTCAAACTAAAGTAATTAGCATACAGACAATACATCGATTATATTTAAATTTTAGCAGACAAAATTAAATATCAATGTAAGGTAGAAAAATAATAAAATGATAATTGTGCGTAATCACTGAACTCTGTTTTGTTTCAATATAATAGGGATGGCGACTGGGTAAAAAAATACAATTCTATTTAGTCTGTCAGTAAGATAATAGAAAAATATTAGAAACATATAATTTTTACTTCAATTTAAAGAGAAATAGCTTAGATAACAGGCATTAAAGTTGAGGAGTGGGGGCTCCCTACGTCACAGTTGAGTAGAAAACGTACCCTAACGTGACGTCATGCGAAATTTCAACTCAATGTAACGCCGTAATTTTATGATTACAAAAAAAAAAAATACGTGTTTAATATTATTCAACACTCTACCTGACGAACGAACAAATGAAAATTAGTCGTCATCCTATTATTTATGCTGAATTTTATGAATGTTAAGTTTAGTAAAAATTCTATAATATTTCCTGAAATATCTTTTTCACCTTTATTGAAATAGAATAAAAATATCTTCGCACATTAGGTTTTTTCATCTCAGAATCAAATGTTCAATGAAAACGTTAAATACTCGTATTATAAAATAGCGAAATAGTTTGAGAATTCAAAGTTAATTATGGCTGTGCTTTTGTCATTTTTTACGCCAATGTATTGAACCCATGTTTATGAACAAAAAATGAATATGTTTGAGAATATTCTTTTTTAATTTTCTTGCTTAAAAATGTCATCATTATAGTGTAAAATAGCATTTTAGCCAGTGACAAAATAATCCTTATTATGTTTAGGCTTTAGGAAAGGAAATAGGAACTCATCCTATGACCAGCTGTCATAGGAGCGTCTTTCGTTTATATACAAGATCAATACACAGTCATACTCCCCAAGGGAGTATTTTAGGGTTAACCAATGTAATATTAACCAAATTAAATTTATGAAAAAACTATTATTATTAAATTATTATAGTAAGTTGGTTGCGTATATATTGTAATGTTATTTTAAAATCTGTGGTTTCAATGTATACACGGAATTTGCGTACTGTTCGTGTATAGTCCGTAACATGAATACGCGCGCCTAGGTTCCGGCCTATACTACATCATTTACGCCTGACTACTCCAGTATTCTTTTTGTTGGCATTTATGTAATTGAGCCGACTAACCACCACTCCTGTGTTGGTTGTAGTTAAATAAAAATTATATTTATATTTAAAAACATGAATTATAGTTAATTACGGTTATCCTAAATAATAATTAGCAAGCGTTATTAATATTTGCGGAATTGGTATTTCATTTTTATATTCTTTATTGATTCTGTTTCCTTGTATGTACGTCGCGGTACAGTCCTTTTATGAAATTACTGAATATAATGTTTTGGACCTGTTGGTTTATGACAACATTTTTAAGAGCAATAATAAACATATGAATAGGTAGCTATTATTTTTGATCAATTTTGCATTCACAAACTTACATTGAAAATATTCTTAATGAAAAATGCTTAAAAATGCTAGGACAAAGTGAATTATTAAGCAGTTTTCATTAGATATACGTGAATAATTCATTAAGAATGTATGAATAAATTTCAAATTTGATATATTTTTTTCAATTTAGGGAGCTCCTTAATTACAAAAACGGAATCTTCAGTATCGCTACAACTTCAAATGGACCAACTATTGTAACATTATCAATAGTCATGCATATCTATGGATACATTGAAATCTGCTCACGTGCAGATTATAGTTTAGGGATCGGCGCACTTATTCCTATTTATACACGATAGATACGTAAGCGTACTGGTAATGTACTAGTATATTATTGAATAATCCAATTAGTTCGGTCACTACGAAGTATACGCGAATATTTGCGTTCAAGTCGTGTATAAATTGAAAGACCTTTGTAAAAAAGTTATTTACGAGTACATTCTATATGCGATTAGTTCCATAATACCGTGTTCTGGCCTTGTACAGAATGATGGGTGACTAAATAATAATTATTTTGAGTTCCTCAATTCTTCAGAACACAGTTTAGTTCAGTTTAGTTAACAACCAACTGGCGTGCCGCCCGCTTGGCGTTTTACGGGGTTTTCTCTATATTCGATTCTATCAAAAGGGAAGACCTGTGCTTCACTAGTGGAGATATAAAATAGGGTGATAATTATGAGGATTATATTAGATTATATAAGAGAAAGGTAAATCGAAAGTATTAAAAAAGAAGATAGCTTTTCATAACATTTATTAACAACTTAAGAAATAAGGTTTACATTGCTAGCAGTCAGTGGAGGGGTGATTACTGGTGATGATGATTCTCTTGTTGTACGTGCTTCGTCGTGGATTTTACTTGAGCATTGAATCTGAAACAATATGTATTTGTTATTATATAATTTAATGTTATCGGTGATATATATATATATATATATATATAATTAAACGTGCCGAAGTACCAAATTGATATCGCCATCAAAAAAATATTTTCAATTCCTTTAAAGTAACGATCTCAATACTTTTATTCAGTTCAGTTGAGTGCATGATTTATTTGCACAAGTAACGTACGTTAATAATAGTAAAAAAAATATATAATATTGTTACCCGCTCTTTTTATCGGCTGCGTATTCAACAGTGCGGATTGAACCATCAGGTTCATGCAGAGAGTAGAAACCCTTCACGACGTCACCATCGCGAGTCTCGTGCTGGGTCTTGTGGTCTCCCGTATGAGGGTCCTCCACGGAATATTCAAATGCATACTTGGGGTACGCCTGGAAATAGGAAATCTATGTTACAACTATGATGTTATTAAAAACTATAATGATTTAATATCAGACAAATTGAATAATATTTTTAGTCCATATCTCTCATTCTGTGGCTCATTGAAAAATAGTAAAAAAAATACTAACGTAATAATCCTCATGATGAGACTCTTCCTTGTGAGATTCTTCGTAATGTACAGGTACGTGTTTAACAATAGGTACGTGTTTGACAACGGGCACGGCATGGACAGCTACTGCCTCATGAACCGGGGCGGGTTGGGCAGCAACGAAGTAGTGCTGTGGGGCTTCCTCCTTCTTGGTATCATGACGAATGATACTTTGTGAGGACACGGCATGATAACCAGAGCGCTGTTGAGGTGCCGCGTGGATCTCGTGAATGGTCTGAATCGGAGCTGCATGATACTCGGAAACATGAATGGGCTGAGAATGGTGCACTTCGATTTTCTTTGGCTCCTCGTGCTTGATGACTGTGTTGTATTGATGTTGATAATGCTCTTGGCAGGATACTGCTGCCATAAGAGCCAAAACGGACAGAACCTATAAACATAAAATTATTTTTTTTATTAATGGATCTTATATTGCATGTATAAAATATACGATGATTTAAAGATTAATGTCTTTTTTAAATCTCATAATACCTTAGCGATCATTTTTAATGTTTATTGAACAACACCCAATCCACATGTGATGCCGAATGAATGAAAGCCTTCAATTTTATAGGTTTAATATGGTAGTGACAAAACGAGTTTAATTCAGACTCGATGACTTTTGACCGAATTACTGAAAATCTGGTTTTCGTGAAATTCGAGCAGTGCAGAGGAAGTCTTACGAAACTTTGAACTTGTGGCAGACACGCGAGAAAAGTACGTGGGTGATCATGTAACAAGTGCCCTTGAAAGTTTTGATTTACATTTTTTTTATACGTAAAAATGTAATTAAAATCCCTTCTCGGATAATTTCCATTTTGTAGTAAAAAAACAACTTATGTTATATTTATCAATTTTGCTTTCACAATAAGTCTCATAAAGAAGCGAACGTTTTGCAGATTTACTTAGCTAGTTCAAAATTTATGACATTTTTCTATTAAGGATTTACATCAGTGTTCCTTATAAGAGGTACTATTTATATTTGATTTCCTGTAACAAACTTTAAATAAATACCTTATTTAGGTATAAGAAACATGAATTAGTATGTGTTATTGTCTACTTATTTTTACATGATGTTTTGAATAATAAAACCATCAATCTCAGCCAAAAGAGTTACAATGATACTGATTCTGTTGGTGCTATAATAACTACTTGTTGGTCAGTTTAAAATAACAAAAAAGAATATTTTAATTTTAGTTTGTTTAAACGTCATCCTTTCAAGCGTAATAAAACACTTATAGTTACATAGTAAAGTTTAATATAATAAATTTAATTCTGTTTTAACTAAACATAAAAGTCGTGTTGAGTAAAAGAATTACTACCAATGTCTAATGAGAAAAATGAGGCTTTATAAGAATTTATAACATAAAGTTAATAACAATAATATTCTTTAATGCGTACTGCATCGGAAATATTACAAAGAAGCTTGAAAAGAGGACAGATAAAGACCATTTTATTGTTACTTAGCAATCTCAATTCTAGCTGAGCTATTGCCCCGCCAACAATCATCTACTTCCTCTTCTTATTTTATTAAAAGAAAGCTAATCGTACCATAAGCAGGCTATTGTTATAGGTTGTCGGTAATTGTTAATATAGATATATCGAACGCCAACTAATTACTCGTTTGGTACTTTAGAAATGTATGGCATCCAACACATTCTACACCCAACACATAAAATCATAATTTGACGGCCATCATGGCGTAGTGGTTCGCACATAAGTTTCAAGGTGTCACTTTCTATCAGGTCTGGGATTCGATTCCTGATCAGGTAAATATAGAAATAAATATCCCACATTATTGTGGATTTGGGTGTTGTGATTTCTTCATGTTACAAATTTTCTTGATACAAGAGATAATAGTAAGCTTTTGGACATTTTAATGTCATGAAATAATATTTAAATTAAATAATTATTTATATTACTTACCTATGTTAAAAGCAAAATGTTAATGAATAATTGCTAAATTTTTCGAAACACTGTAAATAATATCGCTAGTCCTGTAACATAAGATAAAAATTATTGAAAAGTTGGTTGTCTACTCTGATCTCGGACCTGAACTCACCGTTATACGCATCTTCGGCATCCGCATACACTTAGCTGTCGAGATTCTCAGACTTTTTAGAAATATTTCCACGTTCACTCAATATAATTTTATATAGTTTTCATATGGACCACACAACGTCTCTGAAATTATTGTATCTTTGCTTATCGAAGGTAATATAGGATTCTAATTGAAAACTATTTTTTTCAAAGCAATTCAGTAGTTTCCCGTTCATGAGTATGATGAGCCATCATTCATTTTTACCCAACTACGGCGAAGTGAAAAGGAGTGCTATGATTTTGGTCGGTTACATGCCATATGCAAGAATGTTCATTTGTTTCTTTATAACTTCGAAATTACTCATCGTAACTGAACAAATAAGGTGTCATTAAAAGCGACTTAATTATATTAAATTGGTAACAGTGCTCTTTAGAGAGAATGCAATAAGAAACTAAAAATATAATATTCAACCACTCCGTACAGGGTATCAAATGAAAGGGCTTTATTCAGACATTTCAAATAGTTATTTATTCAGTCTATCGTAACAGGAAAGAAGAACAACTCACTTTACGATTACACCATACCACACCATTAATATTAGTAGACCAAAACAAATCGCAAGCTTATCGAACAAAGAGAGCGTACCGCAGCTATTTTATATCAATAGCAAAGACAATTAAAATTTCTAAAATAAATAGTCTAGAATGTATACTATATGACCGAATGCAAAACGACTTTCTGCATAATTAAGTATTCACATTCAATTTACTCGAAACTATACCATCAGTTCGTAAACCTATCTTGTACCAAGAAGAACCGATAAGAAACTCAGCAAGGGCTGCTTGTTCCCTATTAATAGTAAAGAAAAAAATATAGCGTTTTGCAATTATTACAATTCTTCTTTGTGTAATAAAATATATCAAAATAATATATTTATCTCAATAAGTATTCATTGCGACCAAAAAAGAATATAAAATGTTTTGTCATGTTAAAATCTTACATTAAAATTTAAGGTTAAAATGGTCTGGATTTTATCGTCCAAAAATATGTTCGGTCCCATTTTATATACTTCAACGCGCGCCACCAATAGGTGTTCCAGGACTGATTAATGAATACCCTTAATACTTCAACATATTAAAATGTCAATCTTTTGAAAACCCTTGCAAACTTTTATGCCGAGATCTCTGTTTATTACTACAGAGGCTGTTTGCACTTGCACTTCCAAGTCATACATAAAATCCGTCTAAAATGAGTTAGTAATGTAATACTTTTAAAAACAGTGTCTGAAATATAAGTACTGAGGAGTTGGCACTAACGTGTTCTGTTCTTATTTTTTTGCTGGTAATAGTTCGCTTAGCAATGACTAGTTGCGCGGACACTTACCCGCTGCACACACTTACCCCATATGATTCTAACCCAGAGTTTATGGAATAAATGTTCTAAATAAAATACATTAAAAATTAACAGAATACCGTAAAAGCACAAAACATTAAAAAGTGACACAAAAAGAGATCGTATATTATAATTTTCAAGGACACCGGTTACATGATCACATTCACACTTCGTTCGCTTCTCGGTCACAAGTTCAATGTTTCGTAAGGCTTTCTTTGAACTGGTCCATATTTCAAGAAAACCAGACTTTCATTATTGCGTATGTTAACTTATCAAATCTGAATGAAACCTGTATTATCGCTATGCATTTCAATCTATATAACTGAAAGCTTTCATTCATTCGGCATCACATGTGAATTGGGTGTTGTTCATTAAACATTAAAAATGATCGCTAAGGTATTATGACGGTTAAAAAAGAGATTGATCTTTAAAACATCGGATATATCTTTTCCATTAATAAAAATTTAATTCTATGTTTATAGATTCTGTCCGTTTTGGCTCTTGTAGCAGCAGTATCCAGCCAAGAGCATTATCAACATCAATACAAGACAGTCATCAAGCACGAGGAGCCAAATAAAATCGAAGTGCACCATTCTCAGCCCATTCATGTTTCCGAGTATCATGCAGCTCCGATCCAGACTCAACAGCACTCTGGTTATCATGCCGTGTCTTCACAAAGTATCATTCGTCATGATACCAAGAAGGAGGAAGCCCCACAGCACTACTTCGTTGCTGCCCAACCCGCCCCGGTCCATGAGGCAGTAGCTGTCCATGCCGTGCCCGTTGTCAAACACGTACCTATTGTTAAACACGTACCTGTACATTACGAAGAATCTCACAAGGAAGAGTCTCATCATGAGGATTATTACGTTAGTTTTTTTTTTTTTACTATTTTTCAATGAGCCACAGAATGAGAGATATGGATTAAAAATATTATTCAATTTGTCTGATATTAAATCATTATAGTTTTTAATAACATCATAGTTGAAACATACATTTCCTATTTCCAGGCGTACCCCAAGTATGCGTTTGAATATTCCGTGGAGGACCCTCATACGGGAGACCACAAGACCCAGCACGAGACTCGCGATGGTGACGTCGTTAAAGGTTTCTACTCTCTGCATGAACCTGATGGTTCCATTCGCACTGTTGAATACGCAGCCGACAAAAAGAGCGGGTAACAATATAACATATTTTCTACTATTACTTAAATTACGCTACTTGTGCAAATTAATCAGGCACACAACTGCATTCTATAGTTTTGTCGCCATCAATATATTACATTAAATGTATTTAATCTACTTTATGGCGCTATCAATTAGCTGTTTCGGTACTTTCAATTATACATATTACCAATAACATTTAATTATATAATAACAAATACAAATTGTTTCAGATTCAACGCTCAAGTAAAATCCACGACGAAGCACGTACAACAAGAGCATCATCAACACCAGTAACCAACCCTCCACTGACTGCTAGCAATGTAAACCTTATTTCTTAAGTTGTTAATAAATGTTATGAAAAGCTATGTTATTTTTAAATACTTTCGATTTATCTTTCTCTCATTATCTAATCTAATCTTCATAATTATCAGCATATTTTATTTCTCCATTTGTGAGACAAAGGTCTTCCCTTTAAATAAAATAGAATCGAATATGGAGAAAAACCCATAACACACCAACTGGACGGAGTTGGTTCTTAACAACTGCAGATGCTGACTAAACTAAACTCACCGACCTTCTGAAGAATTGAGGAACTCGAAATAATTATTATATAGTCACCCATCCAATGACCCGCACTGTCTGTTGTTTTTGAGAGAGAGTTTGTTGATATCTTCTTTCAATTTAATGAGTTCTACATTCATTCAAGAAAAACGGAATCTTTTGTATCGCTACAACTTCAAATGTTTGGTTGCTGTTCTGATATTATAACATTATCAATAATCATGCATATCTATGGATACATTGGAATCTGCTGGCGTAAGAGATAAGTGTTTAGGACTCAGTGCACTTATTCTTATCCATACACGATTAGTCAGCACGCGTACTGGTAATGTATCGTATATTACCGAATAATCACAAATGGAGATATAAAATATGCTGATAATTATGAAGATTTGATTAGATTATGAGAGACATAAACGCGACACCGCCTTTTAAAACGAGATGGCATATTATAATTGATATAATTTATTTAACAACGACGTCGTTTATAAGAAGCACAGTAAACCTTTAATGATATACGACTTGTTATGTATTAACTAAAGGTATTATAGTTTATTTTGAAGTATGATAAAAAATAGAAATCACGCGGAATTGTAGTCGTCTTCCTATGCGCTTTAGTATGTTGCGAAATTATCTCGTGAAGCTTTTCATTTCTCTTATTAGATAAGTCTTAGATAACATGGAAACATGAAGTTTAACCTGAAACCATAAAACATCTAGTTTTTAATTAGCTTGTCAATTAATCTTTAATATAATTCTTACCTCCAACATAGAAATATGAAAATCAAATCAATAACTTTATTATTTAAAAATACTTAATCTATGCTATCCGCATTTACCTGTGGTCGTTACGTAAATACATGCTGCTGATGGGGTAATTGGGTTTAGTCTGTACGTCCATAATTCATCGATATACAACCTTGGCTTGTGTTCCTGCTTATATATTTATACTGAGATAATTTTCGACATACCATGCAATATAAAACCTTTACAGTAAGAGTGAATGATATTTTTTTATACTGAACTGTTTACCATTTGTTTATATGGTTCTAAGATTTCTTACATTTTTCTGTTACTCCTTTTTAAGCCTACAACTTTTTTATGATAATGTACAGTTTTTTCGTTTTTACTCCAGTTTCTTGTTTTGTTAATCATTTTCTTGACGAAAGTCAAGAGGAGAGGTAGATTGAATATTATTTAAGGAATCTTTAAACCAAATAATACTTTTTTGTCAACTGCTGTGCCGAATTTTTTTGTAAAACGGAAATGGGTCAGGTATACTTTTCGATGGGATTAGCATACGGAGTGCGGGCAATTAAAGGATGGCCGACCTATAAAAGCAAGGTACTTAAATCACCTATTGCATGCCGCACGCGGATGTGATGTGATGACCAATGTACCTGAGGTGGGGCCATTATAATCGGTCACATTTGACATATATCAGCCTCAACATCAAACTAACCTTGTAATGCGCCTACATATTATTTTATATATTTTGTGAATGTTTAAACAACGGTACAATCGCAAGTTTGTTTTAACTATTAAATGATATTTATTGTTATTATAGAATTATATATAAGGCATTTTACGTCTTCCTTTTACTAATAAACCTTTCTAAATGTAAAAAATCAATTTCATTCTAAATAAGCAAAACGCCGCTATTAAGTCTGTTGATCTGTTGTCTTTTTAAGCACTAGGGATGTATCCAAAAAATCGAACACTTGCTTGGTAAACCAAGTTGATTTTATAATTACTAATGAAGTCATGAACAAATTGATGATGAACCACATTGGAAATGTAATTAATCACCATAATATTCCTTAAATGACGTCAAATTGGACTGGATAATGCAAAAATGATCGTGCCTTTTGAAATTCGAAGAAGAAAGAGATTTCAAACACTCATCTTGTGACCAGCTATTGGATAAATACGTACGTCATTTGGGTGTAATTGACTAGTTTTAATGCACAATCCAAATAAAAACTGGATAAGAGTCATGCCCCCCGTTCGTTATTATTAAGCCACTTTCGCAAAGTCCGTAACGGGATGGGTGACAAAAATCTATTATCTTGAGCTAGTCCGTGCTTCAGAAATCACGTTAAGCCGTTGATCCCGGTTGCATATGCAGTCGTTAATACCCTCCAATCGTTTTGGACTAGCGTGGAGGGTCATGGCCTATTCTCCTTTAACATCCACAAGGTGATGTAAACCTTATGGAGATGTAAAAAGGCTGAGGATAGTGATGAATGTGCAATTCGACTTCCTCTGTTCCTATTTATTTAGATAATGAGATAGATAGGCACAGTCTTTTGGCTTTATGCCAACTCTTACGTTGTATCCTTAGTAATAATAACAGGTAATTAATAATTTCCAATTTGTGCATTACACAGCATGTGTAGTTGTGCAAAACGACTATGAGTATCATTTGTTATTTTATTCTGTTATGCTAAAGTTATTTCTATATTTAACCTAATTTAATAGTCAATTTCGCGAATAAATTTATATTGATGATAATTATATAATTGTTATGATTTATCCGTAGTAACTGTATACGATTCACATTTGTTTGAAAACCATATCGATTCGTTATATTAATCGACAATTTTAAGAAGGCCACCTCACTATCAATTTCACATTGATAGAATGTGGCTTCTTAAAATGACATTTTTATAGTTCGTATGGGGTCACGATAGTTACGTCTGGCCTCGGATATACCGTTTCTATAATTAGTTAAAAATCAACTTTTTTAATAGATCTGGCGATCGGGAGACTAGCCTTCTGGCACTCGGGAGCTACATGAGCTCATTCCTTTACCATCGGCAATCAAGACGCACGGCGAGATACCATCGTTTTCTTTACCGCCAAGGAGTGGAACTCCCTGCCGGTATATATATTCCCGAGTGCATATAACCCAGACCTATTTCAAGCAAGAGTGAATAGGTTCCTTCGGGGCAAGCTCGTCTCATGTTTATTCGTAGAAGGCAGTAGGTTCACTTATTCTCTGTATAATATGAATTTGGACTAATATTATAAATGCAATTTTAGCGTTAATTTACTCTGACGCTAAACTTTGTCTATTAATAGCACTGTTAAAGTTTTACTGTTGATTTGGACAGTGACTTGGTACTTTAATTAAACGTATATTAAAAATAATAAAGCACAAAAAAAACTTAATGATGCATGTGGATGTAAAGAGTTATGAAGTTAAGAATAAATAGTTATGTGCAGCTTCATGCCCAGTTTTGACACCGCTAGGTAAGAAAACATGTCCACTATTATTTTAAGAAATAACATTTACCAATTTCAAATTTCAACGAAAACGAAGGTTTCAACTTGCCGCTAAATCTGATTTCCCGGGATTGATTTAGTAAATCAGGATTAATCCTTCGTGAAGTATAAGTAGAACATAAAAGACTTTAGATTTATGTAAGATTTATCAACATTTTAATAAATAATTACCTAACTTATGACTAACAGTAACTTGTAGTAGAAAGAGAAGTAAGTTGATTAATGGTGGTGATGATATTCTGGCTGAGCATGTTTCGTTGACGTCTTGACGTTAGCAATGAATCTGCAAAAACAAGTGAAGTTATTTAGTTAAATATTGACAGAATCTCCTGCTTACCGTTAGAAATATGCTGAATGTGTTTAGAATGAAATTTAGTATCGACGTAATAGTTTTTGTGTGCTCCTAAATAAATAAAAATTTCTAAAAATCAACGGGTGCTAATATTCAGTATGCTTATTTCAAAAGCTAGAAAATCAGTTTCAATTGTAGTCCTTTTACAGATTCTTGAGATTTATTTTATCAATTTTGCATTCATAATGCTATGCTGGTAAATATTCGTAATGAAAAATGTTTAAAAAATCCACCGTCCCAGTTACCCTAGATAGGATTAGAACCCAAGACCTTCCGCTATCTACGCGGCTGCTCTAACCACGTATATGGGACTGACGGATTTTTTAAGCATATTTCATTAAGAAATCTTATAATATCTTATTTTTACTAGTATAGATCTTGATTTAGAAAAGAATGAATAAGATTTTTTTTTGTCGAACTCCTTTTTATGTCTCTAATTCTTTATGTATTGAGAAGATAATTGTTAGGAATTATTGAGTATATAAACGTACCCGGACTTTTTGTCTGAAGCGTATTCAACGGAGCGGATAGAACCATCAGGTTCATACAGAGAGTAAAAGCCTTTTACGACGTCACCATCACGGATCTCGTGCTGGGTCTTGTGGTCTCCGGTATGATGGTCCTCCACTGAGTATTCGAAGGCATATTTTGGATACGCCTGCAAATTCGATTAAAACTGTGAGCTTAATACGTTGATGATATGTTATTATTGCCTACCTTTATTTAAGTAGATGTCCATTATCTCGCTGTGGTTGTTCTATCTGTTATCTCCAATCTATTAGTCCAAATTAGTACAGGGAGAATGATAGAACGTCGATAAGTAATGTTCTTAGTGCTAAGTCTGTTTTTTATTGTTCTTAAATTAAGTTGTCTAAAGGAAAAAAAAAACAAAATTCTTACATAATAATCTTCATGGTATGATTCCTCCTTGTGAGATTGTTCATAATGTATAGGTTCATGCTTGATGATAGGCGCAGCATGGATTGCTACGGCCTTTTGAACTGAAGCCGGATAAGAAGGAATGAAGGGGTGTTGGGGAATCTCCTGATGCTTGGTCTCGTGACGAACGATACTCTGGGATGACATGGCGTGATGGACATCAGAATGGGTCTGTGATGCTGAATGAACTCCTTGGATGGTTTGGATCGGTAGAGAATGGTATTGGCCGATGTGAATAGGTAGGGACTGGTGCACTTCTATTTTCTTCGGTTCTTCATGCTTAATGATGGTCTTGTATTTTTGTGCGTAATGTTCTTGGCAGGATACTATTGCTAGCAGAACCAGAGTATATAAAACCTGATAATTAAATTATAAATCAACCAATGTTTTACTACTTTTAAAAACCTTTTTTATAATTCGTTGAATGTTAAATGAAATAATTGAATGTAATTTTAGAATCGCAAATGCTTGTTAAATATGTTACGTTCAAAGATCGAAATAACTCATTAAACGAAAAATAGTTTATAACCTGTTGTGGCAATCGCAGAATAACCATATAGCAAAATGTGTGTCGTGGCTGATATGCTATTCGATCTCAACGCGTTGTGGCAATGAAGAAAGCCACGAAGTGTATTGAACCATATTTGATTAGGTTAGGTTAGCTTAGAGTATGACAAACAACGCACGAGTCAAGCGAGCAATGTTAGCCACGGCAGTGGAAGTGCCAGAAATGAATTACATACATTGAAATCAATACAAACATAAATATTGATAATATTAAACTTCAAACATTATTCTATTAAATAAAAAAAAACATTAATGTATATATATAACTTGTTGATATTCTATACTACAGATAAAAGTTTAATGTTAAATGTTGATGCATTTATTTTATACTGCAAAAATTGTCACTTAAAACTGGTTTAATTTGGTATTGGCAATTGTATTACCGATGAGGGTATAATACATAACATTCACCTTTCATGGAAATGTTGCATTTATTTAATCAAATTATAAAAAATCATACTCGTTTTCTGAAAGTAATTGTTATAAAATATTGTAAGTTTTAGGTTAAACCAAACTTTTTAACGCAGAATCATTTAGCGAATTAATACGAAATACTCGATGGTGTACTGTAAACCAAAATATTAAATAGATGTTACATATTATACGAAGCGACTATGGACACTGTCGGGCACAGCAACATTTTAGAGTTAGGAGGATTTCGTATAAAATATGAAATTTGGTCTGGTAATTTAATAATGAAAATGTTGCATAGAAATAATTAAAGGGATATATAATGTGTTGTATATAATATATTGTTTATTTTTCTGTAATGGTTTAACAACAATTATCTTATCATAGATTATCATAATTACACTGGTTTCCTTTTTAAGAAGTCATTCAAAGCATATTAATAGTATTAATAACATTTTAAAAAATAACACTTATCTCTAACTTTAGATAGCTCGGTGACGTGTGGGTGATCGCTGTTGCTAATCAATAAATTATTATCTCGAGCTACTTAGTGCTTCATAAGGCACGTTAATCCTTTGGTACCGGCTGCATTTGCAGTCGTTAATATCGTCCAATAACCATCCTCGTTAACCATCCATAAGAAAGGTCTGGACTGATGATGATGTAGATATGCTTGGTTGTTGCCAAACAAATACTTAAATACAAAATATTCTCTTAACAAATATTTTATGACATCCGTGACGTCCGACCGAACCGTTTCAATATATCGGCACCTCTTTGGTCCTCCGTAAAAAATATTTTATAGGTATATTATCTTTTAAATATTATATTATATCTGTATATATTATATGAAATAAAATTATCCATTTAATTCGAACGTATTGCAATTAGCATCTCGTTTATTCTTAAAACGAAACACCGCAACTAATAGATATGACAACTATTATAGATATTTTTAATTTACGTCCCGATTTTATAAACAAACCATTCAAGCTCATTGCGCATTGGCGTGTGGTAACTTCTGCATAAGCAGGCAAGCACAAAGGTTAAAAGGTTAAACGTGCTACCCAAGTCACAGAGGAAAAACGATATCAAATCTCCAAAATCACAGATTGAATGCCATAACAACCGATTTCAGGTTTCTCTTATGTAGCTCAAAAGACAAATGATAGAATTTTGTTGAGTGAGTGATATAATTATGCAGCTTTTATTGTATTAAAACGCAGGGGAGATAGTCGGTATCCACGTGACATGGTTTTTTAATTGCATACCAATAGAAAGTGGTACTCCTAAATCTTTTATCGCACACGTGAAAAGATCTTAAAAGATATTCCAACTACATTAATAGGAGCTGGATGACTCGTCTTATTACAAAACTTTACACATACAATAATTTACCGAGCCTAATACTTACACATCAGGCTTAAAGCCGGATCTTGGATTTCTTTAAATGCATTTTTTAAGTTTTACGCTCTTATTTGGTTTGATTTTAAATATTATACAGTTATCAAAAAGTCTCTTAATTGTTAAATTTATTATTATCTTCTGAATTAAGTTAATATATGTTATATAAGTTGACAAACAATTTGCAATAACATAAATATTTGCTTTTAATATAATGCGTAGTTTGGAAGACACGTTAATCCATTGATCTTGGCTGCATTTGCAGTTGTTAACACCGACCACTGAGCCCGCAGGGAAGGTGGCCCGTTCTCTATTCGATTAGAGTCAATACTCTCCATAGAGTCTGCATCCCAGCAGTGGGAACTGAATAAAGTATAATGATTTGAATCAGGCATATTTTGAGATGGGGAGCTCGATCATACAGTGGTTCTATCATCAGTCCTTTTACGTTCCTACCCCTGCAGTAGGAACCTTACTCAGAAGATGGGCCATGACTCTCCGCGCTAGCCTTCTAGCTAAGCTTAACGTGCCTTCCAAACCACAGAGTAACTCGAGATAATAATTTTTTGCTCACCCATCCTCTGACGAACCATTGTAAAAGTTGTTTATTAACAACGAACACTACGCCACCGAGCTAATCATACAGTGGATAATATGATCTAATTAGTTAATTTAGTAATTTTAAGCCCGTTCATGGGATCGGTGACTGAAAATTTTCCATCTCGCGTCCCTTCGTCCTTAGAATTGACATAATTCGCAGCTGTATTTGCAATCCTTACCATATATTAATAGTCCAATATGTAATTAGCCCGCATTGTTGGTATTGTAAATATTAGATATCATGACATAGCTAAGGGCATGAAGCATCGGAGCTAGGCTTGCTTGAATAACTTCCAACATGCACCCTCCACACACACAAACAAGTGTAACGGGGTAGTAACAATCGTTTCCGCAAATTGACGTGAAAATACTAAGGTCTAATCTACTAACCGTTGTACTATTTGTTTGTTATAATCTAATGTGAAATGTATTACGTTTATAACAAACAATTAGTACAACGATTAGTAGATTAAACCTTAGTATTTTCACGCCAAAAAAGAATAAGAGATAAATAAATAATTTGCCAAATTACTTGTACGGAGGTATTTTTATTAATACTAGATTATTGATCTTTGAAAATAAATAACGAAAATCGATATCACTTCCCAAAACTAACTTTTTTAAACCCAAGACAAATTAAATTTTAACTTAATACAAATTGTAAGCCATAACTGCTAGCTAATCGGCCCACCGCTTTTGCTCTCCAAATTTTATTTAAAGCATGCTTTATATTTTAATATAAGAACCAAGCAGGCTCCGCGATCAAGTGGCTCGTAGGCCTATTTCAAGGTATCGGCATCTAGTAGGTCCTTGGTTTGATTCATAGCCAAGGTCATATAGTCATTTAACTTTAAATATTGTCTCGGATCTGGGTGTCATGCTATTTTACTGACTCTGATTTCAATGGCTTTTTTATTTAATTTGAGAAGTGAGCAATGATATAATCTAATTTTTATTATTCAGAATATTTGTGTCATGTCTGTAAAAGTAATACACCTTTCGTATAATCTTATGAACTCTTCGATTCGATAGGGAGTACTTTAAAAACTCTGTGGAAATTAAACGCAAATAGCCAACTATTTTCATTTCAATTGTATGCTAAATATCAACGTGTTTTACAAGCATTTTGTCTTAGTAAAGGTATCTAAATAAAATAATGAAAATCAAGTTTTGTAAACCAAATATAACCTACTTTCGTAATTTAGTTTTAGCGGAAAAACATGAATATATAATTTAATGACAAAGAAAAATTAAAAATTAATGAAGCCGGATAGTAGCCATGGCATTAAACCAAGCAGTTCCATAAAAATTCAGCTTGTTTAAATTATCTTGACTATTTACTTTGATCTGAGATTATATTCAGAGTCTGTAGACGAAACTTAAATAAAGTATACCTGTCAAGTTTGGTTCAAGATCCAAGATAATCCACCCAATAAAAGGAAGATAATGTATTAAATTTCTTTATCCGCATAAGCTAACATTTATCATCGTTGTAAGGTACTGACTCCTACAATACAGATCAATCTTGTTTGGGTGTGAAAACTTTAATTTGTTTTGCAGTGTGTTATCAAACATTAGTTAATTCTTGAATAAAATGTTTATAATCCTCCCCATATCAAAAATGTAATAAGCTTTTATTGTTAAATGTTAAAGGCACCGTTATCTAAATATAAGAAGATTGTTTAAGAATTATTTCGCTTAATTAAGCAAATACAAAGCACATGATCGAAATACTGATACATTATGCAAAGTTAACTTTCTCTAGCCTCCAAAACGGATTTCCTTAGTTCGATAAAAAACGAGATTAGGTTAGTCGGTATACATCCAAAATTATGTAACAAATCAAAATTTAGGCTTGAATGAATATATATGAAATTCAAATTATATCCATTCACATCATTAAGCGCAAAAAGTAGAAAATGATCATATTCATTTTCTACTTTGGCCTGGTCACATTTGTGTAAATAAGTCCGGTGGGTCATTTTAAAAAATTGTTATACAATACATAAATAATAATAAATAAAGATTATATAATATTTCAGACATACATACATTATGTAAGTCAAAGACCTTGATCTTGATAAATATCAGGGACCTCTCGCTAAGTGAGGGTATGTTCATTGTAAGGCTCAGAAACCACTGGACCGATTTAAAAATTTCTTAATTTTCGTGAAGTTACATCATACGTGGGTGATATATGTATGATATTTTTCTTCTTATGCCCATTTCCACTAAACTTAGAAGTCACCAAAATGTTAAGGAAACGCCTAAGCGGAAAATGCATTTCACCAATGTCTAACAACCACCTAAAGACATTAAGTAATGTTTATAGTTATGATAAACGTTAGGCGGCGCCTTGCGCTAGGTATTTCTGTAATAAGACAGATCACAAATATATCAACATCAGTTAAACAATCTACTTAGGCGATACCTTAGATTGGGTGTTTCCTAGTTAAGCTGTGCCTTGTTCTTGGTTAGTGAAAACGGTTGTTACTACCTCGTTTCCGCAAAAAGGAGCCTGGTTGGTTCTTATATAAATAATAAAGCATGCTTTAAATAAAATTTCGAGAGCAAAAGCAGTGGGCCGATTAGTTAGCAGTTAGAGCTTACAATTTGTATTAAGTTTAAATTTTATTTGTCTTAGATTTAAAAAAGTCAGTTTTGGGAAGTGTTATCGATTTTCGTTATTTATTTTCATAGATGAATATTCTAGTATTAATAAAAATACCTCCATACAAGTAATTTGGCAAACTATTTATTTATATCTTATTCTTTTTACGCGTGAAAATACTAAGGTCTAATTTACTAATCGTTGTACTAATTCTTTGTTATAAACGTAATTGTAATGTGTTTACATTTATATTACATATTTGATTATTTGATCGTGCACAATAAAATATTTTCTCATTGAAAGCTTGTCCGAGTTTGATTTCCTTGTAGTTAATATATTAATTTAAGTTTTTGTCATCCAAAATTTAAACATGAGTAGGTATTATTGATACAAAAATTGCTCTTAAATCAATTGAATATACCAGGATTAAATTTGACATACGTTTCGGTAAAAATGAGAAAGTATGCAAATAAAAATATATGTGTACATAAATACGAGTAATTTGTTTTAAAGTTGATTAATTTTTAGTGGGTTTATTATTTTTTCTTTGGTATTATAACAAAGTGTCTGCTTAAAATTTACTTGAAACTAGTAAACATGATTTAAAATATCGAAATTGATTCTAAAAGTTCTCCTTTAAACAACGACCTGAATATAACACTAAATATCTTATTATTGTATTTATATTATCTAATAAATGTCTGTTGTTAGGTCAGTATTGATAAATGATTTGATCTCAAACGTAACAATAGACCATTTTTTTTTGTATTATTTAAATAAGAACATTTGCAAAATTATAGTTCACCAGTTTGTTAGATAGACAACCTTCACATTGGTTACGTAAATTACGTCATGTACAGAATGCGCGGGGAGCTTACCGACATGTCGCTCCAAGCGGTAACAAATTGATTCAAAACTCTCTCGTAACGTCTCTGGTATATATTGAGCTAATAACCTATGTTAATTCATCAGTTCTATCGCGGAAGTCGAGGAAGAAAGATCGAAATGTTAGCTAAAGTGCGTGAATTGTACACGATCGTACCATAAATGAATTTGCATTTTAATTATATTGTGCTGATCTCGTTTGTTTTGTTACAGATTGTTATTCTCGCTTTGGCCCTTGTGGCAACGTATTGTGAAGAACACTCTTACACTCTTAAAACACATATTCAACATGAGTTGCCGGAAGCTTATAAGCATTACGAACACATTCCAGTGAGATTGCATCAGGAAACTAAAGAAGTTCAGTATCAAAGTGAACCCGAAAGCCATGGACATGCGTATTCATCTCAAAACATTGCTAGTCATCAGCAGCAGCAGGAATCTCACGAAGACGTTGGTCATACCCGTCCAGTTTACGAATATGTTCCAGCTCACAGCGAGGAAAATTTGCATCAACATTCTGTTCCCCAACAGAAACTTCAAGCTGTACACTACGCCCGTCCTTCGTATCATCAGCAAAGTCAAGATCATGCACCAGTTGTACAAAATGACCAACCTCAGATAAGTCATTCGCATGGATCCATGTATCATCATTATAAGACTCATTCGCAACAAGCTCCATCATACCATCACCAGCCAGAATCTCACTCTCACCACTCTGAAGATGAACCTGTCGATTTCTATGTAAGTCACCTCGTCCGAAAATCATTAATATTGTAAGAAAATGTCGTATTCTTAAATTTATGCACTTTCCTTCTATTTATTTAAAACACACGTATACATTGAAATCACGTCCACGATTTGCTTTAGAATGTTTTTGCTATGTAAATTTTACTCATTCACTTTTACTTTCGCAGGCTCACCCTAAGTATCAATACGAGTACAATGTGGAGGACCCTCATACTGGTGATAATAAATATCAACATGAATTCCGTGACGGGGATGTGGTGAAGGGAGTGTACTCCTTACATGAAGCTGACGGTTCAATCAGGACTGTTGAATATACCTCCGACAAACACAATGGGTAAAATTCTTTGGATCTTTGGAAGACATGAACCAGGAACTTGTTACAAAAATAATTTTAATATTCATTATAGGTAATATGTATAACTCTTTTTTTATATTTCCAGATTCAACGCAGTAGTGAAGCATACTGCCCCTGGTCAGCATGTGCAGATAGAAAGCCATCATCATAATTAGTTTTAGTTTTGCTGTTTAAGACTGAAGATGTTTTGTTGATATTGTTACTAAATGTGTAATCCTATAAATTATTGATATGCATAATATAGTGTTTGATTTATCACACAAATTCAAAAATATGTTAATTAGAAAACTACCAATCTAGTTTTGGTTGATAAATAAGAACAAATGAAATAAAAGATGAAATTTTATGTTATTCGCATAAAAGTATAGGTCTGACTATTGTTATGCGCCCAATTATGATGATTCAATAGTATTATAATGTAACCTTATGTAAGTATTCTAAAAAAAATCGAAAGGTGTGATCTAGATTAAAGTCTTTTGAATTCGCTACACGTTCTGATTAAAGCGTTCATAGTTTAATATCTTTTAATTCATTTAACTTGGCTTCGTAACTTGACTGACAGGTAATGTCGAAATCTCTGTCGATACATTTTTCTATGAATAAGCGTAATGCAATATTAAATAATGAGAAATTAAAAGAGGAAAGAAATGTTGAATACCAAATGTTTCTATTATTCAATAGCATCTCGGCAAAGATGAGTCGGATAAGGCATAAAACAGTGTTGTGATTTTTTTTTACTTTATGGGAAGGTGGTAAAAATAAAATTATATGAAAAGTTATAATATTTATCTAAGATCAGTCACAAATCCAAAATTGTTGCTTGGCACACCGTAGGCGTTGAGTCTAACGTTTCATAAAATGTAACCTTACTCACTAGAAGAAAATATAATACAAAAGTAAAATAAAATAAGACTCTAATGTGATCACATAAATGAGTGAAATCTAACTTTGGGCCGTGTAGTCCCTGGATACAGATTATGAAACGCCGAGCCTAACGTACGTGACCCGGCTCGAAGGACCACGTATCGTTCTGTTTCGTTGTCGCGTTCCGTCCGAGTTCTATAATTAACTAGGTAATAAATAGTCGCCGTACAGAAGATTGGTATGTTGTGGAGTAGTCTATCCAAGCAAATGGCCATGTCCATAAGCTGGTGCTGCAACGACGGGAGCCACAGCTGGATGTGCAGCATGGCCTTGTCTGCTAACAACAGCGTTGAATCTGGAATTGTATTTTTCTATGACTATTGTATAAAGAGTAGTTTAAAAAAATGCAGTATCATTTTCTATTTCTCACCAAATATATTATTATTGGAAAAAATGACATATCTATCTATCAAATGGTTTTAATATATCTTGACTCCACTTTTTTACTTTATATTTCATTATAAATTTATTCATTTATATCGACAGTAGCAAACCTTCTTTTTATAAATGTTCATTATGCGTGAAGAAATTTTTAATTAAGATTTATTGTCCGAGTAACGTAACCACTAGGTACTTTGATTTGTAAACAAAAACAAAACATTCTGCGTATTGAATGCTTGCTTTGCTACAAAAAGAGTAAGGTTTTAGTTGATTTATTTTATTTGACATACCCATTATGGGCATCAGAAGAATAGTCGACGGTGCGGAGAGTACCATCGGGTTCGACAAGGGAATACTGCCCCTTCACCACGTCACCGTCACGGGTTTCCCATTGGCTCTTCTGATCACCGGTGTGGCCATCAGCGACTCCATAATTGAAAGTATAACGAGGGTGGGCCTATTGCACAAAAAGTATAATTAATTTAGATATTATCATATAATATCTATCTTTACATACTTAAAAAAAATAAAGAGAACTGTCATGAAGTAACAGATGGGAATGCACTTATTGATAAGTGTTAGAATATAAGATGTTGAAGTCACAATTTCTTTATATGCCACCTAAAGTACAAGAGCGGCAACATTTAAAACTAAAAGTTTAATTAAAGTCCTCGACTTTAGTAATAGAAACCGAAACGTATTTACCGCAGTAGTATTCTATAACTCTGGTTATTTGATCCTTTATTTTTATGAGTAGTATGAATTTCTATATCGCTAGGCATAAACATAATTAGCGTGTTGCACAGTTTAAAAATATTAAAAAATAATGAGCAGTTAAGTGTAAGTGTTTTAAATATATAACTTACATAAATTTCAACAGGAGCTGCGTGCCCATAGGAAGCAATAGGAGCTCGTAGAAAAGGAGCAGCATGCGAGACAACCGCACTGCCTGTAGACATTATAGAGAAATTTTAATATATTCAAAACCTTATCCGGAAACTGATACTTGAAAATAATATTAATTGAGTCCAATTTAATTGTACAAAATACTGCACTACTGTTTTTTTATATGATATTTATCAATGTTTACAATAATTTTGTGGCTAAATCCATATCATTTCAATTTACCTTTTTCAAGATATGAATTAAATAATCACAAAAAAGTGATTTATTCATCAAATTCTGAAATCTATATTCTTTCGCATAACATATGAATAAAGACATTTAAAAATATCGCTTTTGCTTTTAATAAACGAAATCGCGGCTCGCGACAGTAGCTCGGTGGTGTAATGGATAAGCACCACGGCCCGAGATCCTTGTTGCTAAATAACTTTCGCAAGGATCGATCATGGGATGGGTGACCAAAAAATATTATCTCGAGTTACTCCGTGCTTGGGAAGCATTGGGCCTGCGATGAGGATTATGGCCCATCCTTTACCATTAACAAGAAATGCCTCAGCCCCTTTTTTAAAAACATGCTTTTATTTTTGCGCACAAAAACATAAATTAATATAAATTCTAAACATTTAAAGTACTTCTAATTAAACTTTTTTCTAACAGTACTTGACTTGTATAGCTTGTAGCGCAAATAAAATCGGAGACGAGGAAATGCACATATTTTTAGGTTTGCCTCAATATCTTGTTGTTCTCATAAAGACGGATCTAAAAATGCATAATCCAATGATCCTAGTTCCTATGAGCACTTTCTAACTCCATCATCACCAGACCTAGGTCTGAAAAACATTCAGTACCAAGGTCCTTATAAAGACTGTTCTAACGATCCCAAACACGACGCAGTTGCGTCATTACGTCACTTCCGACTTCATCATCATATCAGCTTACTGATAGCATAATATTCATTGTCATCTGTATATTATCTGTTTAAGAAAAAAAATCAATCGTACATTGGGAAGTGGGTCACATATGAGTTCCAAAATTTGCTCACTAACTAACATACTATCAAGGCAAGACAAATAAAAGCTTGTAAAAAGGGCTAATGATGAAACGAAATTGTACACCAAAGTGTGAGTACACACTTTATCAATGTATAATAGATTCACATGCATCCTCATATGTAAACAAAGATGAGAAAATATGATTTATGGCATTAACAGAATAACTTTATATTACTATCCTTTGTCAATGAATCATTGATAAAAGATAGTTTTACGCGATATATTAATTAGTATATCTATGATATGTAATAAAATTAATGATTTTAAAACATAAAATTACAATGAAAAGTTTACTAATCCATAATGCTTGTTAAGGTTGTAAGACACTCTAGCTCTTATTTCAATAAAAATTAACTATTTTACCGATACCCAGCGCTGGTGCTGCATACCCAGCGCCATAAGCTGGAGCACCCAGAACGATGCTTTGTGAAGATAAAGCTCCGTGGGGCGCAGCGATTAGTCCTCCGCGAGCTAAGCTCACCAAGCCACAAGTAAGGATCAACTGAAATATTAAAACTCTTTTCTACAATAGAAACAGAGAAAACTAAACAAAATCAAGAATTATTTTGTAGACTGCCTTATTTTTAAAGTAAATTAACTGTAAAGAAACTAAAAAAACTAATAGGTATGTAAAATATTAATGAAATTTTTTTTTTTTCTCATAGATCCATTTGAAAATTTTAGTACGAATTAAAACTTAAATTGTTCCTGATATTAAGTTCGCTGATAGCTTTAAGTATTTTAGAAATATATATCGCAGGGTATGCAAACATAAATCCCTGTCTTAATATTGTCACAGAATATGTTTTTCAATGTACATTAATCAAAACACAATAGATTACTATTAAAAAGCAAAAAATAAAGGAAAATCTATCAAGTCGTTTTCTTCATTAACTATCGTAATAAAATATAATCTTATAATAATTTTTATCTACATAATGTTTCTGTACACAGAAAGTGATTTCTATGAACGTCCTGTAAAACCAACACGTCACATATATCACGATTTATCACCAAACTGTACTGTACTGTACCTTGACAAACATTTTCCTATTGTTTTAATATTGAATACACAAGTACTCTTCTAAGCACTAGGGCTTGCTGTGTGCCAAATCTAAGATACCCGGTGCTTATATAGAGACAAAATGTCCTATAGGTACTAAGTCCTTAAGTCGTACGTACAGGAAAATATAGGTATATGAAATTATATATGATCGGGCGCTGCCTAGAATAAACTAGATCACAAGAATAGAGAGGATATTACCCTGATAATATTTTGTTTAATCATTAAAAAGGAATTTAAAATTGAGATAAATATAACAACGGATTAATGATATATTGACAGTGAATTTAATAAGAACCTTTTATAATATATATAAAAAGTAATATGAAAATATATGAAAATTTATTTAGCAAAAGATTGTTTAGCTGATTAAATTTTTCTCTTTTATTTTATTTTCTTCTTAATTTTCATATAAGTGGAATGATCCATACTAATATTATAAATGCGAAAAAAAGTCAGTCTATGTGTGTATCTGTTATGTTTTCACGTATAAACTACTGAATAAATTTTAATGAAATTTGGTACACAGATAGAGCGGACCTTGGAAAAGGACATAGGATAGTTTTTATCGCGAAAACCAGGCCACGGGCAGAAAGGTAATATATTTAATTTTTCTATAAAATACAAGCGAAGTAAACTAAAAAAAATTAAAATAAATAGCAAGAATAAAATTACATCATTTTTTACACAAACAAATTACGTTTTAGAAATAATAATGTTTGGTTAGTTTTGATCAATTCCTTTCAAATCCAACGCATATTAAGGTTCAAATCAAGAATTGGCAATAAACCTGTGGCCGAACAGTATCGACTGACCACATTTGTAATGAAATATTAAACAGTTTGAAGGTTTACATATACTACGAGTATCAAAAAAAAAAATCCTGTTACTTTTTCAATTCTTTTTGTTAAAATTTATATTGCAAAATTACAAAAGAATTAAAAAGATTTCATTGAGTAAATATCATAAATTAGTTATATACTGGATCGGAAAACGTACTGAATCAGAATGAAGTCGCGGAAAATGGTAAAAATCTAAAATAGATGGCCACACTTGCATGCTTGTGACAAATAGTAAAAAGTTGGAAGCGCGGATGGATTTTTTAAAATAATATTTTGTTTTTCTTTTTTTTTTAGTAAAAGAGTTTAGTAAATTTTTTTTAGACTTTTCGAAAGAAAAAAAAAACAAAACGTCTCTAATTCAAAACTTCTTAAATCAGTAACGAAAACCTCTTTATTAATATTACTCAAACCCCAAAGTTATGTTGAAAAGTTAAGCCCTAGTATTTTAAGATAACTAGAGTGCAAACTCTCTGCCAAGAAGGTAGTCTATTTTGTCTTTTTGTGAAATATTTTTCATATGTGTCATCTTTTTATTTTGTATTACGGTCTTAGTGTCAGCTTAGTGTATTTAACATGTTTCAGTTATCTTAAGAAAACATGCTTAAAATCTCAGAAGTCTGAAGTACCCCAAGGTGAAATTGTTGAGTTTTTAAACATTGGCTTTAAGAAATTTATTTATATATTATGAATGCACAATTTCACAAAATATTTTTCACATTTTAATTTATGTAATAGGACGATTATCGCATCGATATATCGCTTGCGATGTAGTGTCACTTCTAGCAATCATATCGCAGATGTCTACCGTGTCGCGTCAAATGACAAGTCTGTCACTATGACTCATCTGGTTGGTGTGAATGACCAATGCTCACCTCCACGATGACGTACTATCAGCTTTTATTTGGTGAAACAGGTTCCAATTCAAATTGTCATTTCCATATCAGAAGAAGTAGTTGATCTATTTATTTTGTTGCGTCGTTCAAGTGTTAGCCCAAGGGCTGGACACAAGTTTTCATACTTTGACTGTACAGTTATATTGTCTTTGCTTTCTACATGTATGCAATTGCTTTTTACAATTAAATGTATTGTGCAAGTGTTGTAGCATGAAAATAAAATAACATGAGTAGAGTTCATGGCAAAAACCTTTATCAGGCGTATTTTGTACCTTTTATTTTATTGATTTTTTTCTTTTATTTAGGTAAAGTGAGTTTTAGTTCATAAAAGTGATCATGTGATCATGTGAGGCCCGAAAATTAACAATATATAATTCAATGAAATAATATGACAGGTGAATCTAAACAGGTAATACGAGGGTCAAACTGAAAGTTCTTAGAAAATCAAAAACTGATTACATTAGCCAGTTATTAGTTTTATTATATCTTTTCAAAATATTGTCCATTCACGTCAATACACCGCTGCATGCGATGGAACCACTGGGAAAAGCACTTTGCCCACTCGTCCTTAGGGGTCTCTTCAATGGCATCGCGATACGCAGCCACCGCTTCTTCAGCATTCATAAACCGCTTTCCTTTAAGTTTTTCTTTAATTTTTGGAAATAAATAAAAATCACAAGGCGCGAGGTCGGGGCTATACGGCGGGTGACCCAGTAATTCAACGTTTGATGTCGCCAAATAGTCGATCGTTCGCTTGGCGGTGTGCGACGAGGCATTGTCGTGGTGAAGGAGGATCCTACTGCGAGGTCGTTTCTCTCGAACTTTTTCCAAGACAAGTGGCAAACAATTGGTAGTGTACCATTCTGCAGAAACTGTTTTTTGATCCTCTAACACAATTGTTGCAAAATGACCTATCCTTCCAAAGAACGAGGCCACCATTTTTTTTCCCGCACTTCGATCTCTCTTCACTTTAGTTGGCAACTCCTCGAAAGGAAACACCCACTGAGCAGATTGTCTTTTGGTTTTAGGATCATAACAGTAAATCCAGCTTTCGTCACCTGTTAGTATGTCGAACACAGCATTTGAGTCACCTCCGTTAAATCTTTCAATCATTTTACGACACCAATCCACACGATGGAGTTTTTGAGTCTCAGTCAAATTTTGAGGTATCCACCGGGCGCAAAGCTTCCTGACCGCTAAATGTTCGTGGAGGATTTTGTGCACTTGACTCATATCGATGCCTAAGCTTGTCCGAATCTGTTGATAGGTCACTCTTTTGTCAGTCTCTATCATACGCCGCACAACACAGATGTTATCTTCAGTCGTCGCCGTAGAAGGCCGTCCCTCACGTAAATCATCAGTGAGATTAGTGCGACCACGTTTAAACTCATTAAACCAGTTGTAAACAGTCGCACGAGATGGGGCTTCATCGTGAAAGGCCAATCGTAGTCTATCATAACTTTCTTGTTGACTTAAATGACATCGAAAGTCATAAAAAATCATTGCACGAAAATTTTCTCGTGTTAAATTCATGATGACGTGACACAGACAATTTTCAATTTGCCGCCAAATCGTAAAACAAATGACAAATGAATGAAATATATACTCAGTAATATTGGCAAAGAGTTATATTTTCAAATTTTAGAATTATTTTTTTATTATATTGTTTATAAGTGGCCAGTTCTAAGAACTTTCAGTTTGACCCTCGTATTACCAAAAATAGTTGTACATATAAGCCGAATGCTTTTGCCCTTTGCTTAGTATTAAATAAAAAATAACATCACTGGTGAAGTGGTTTTCTATACGAATGTCGATAACTTTGGTCGTAGTTCATATTCCAAGGAAAATGTAGAAATTCAGTAGTATAATTTTAGTGAATATAAGATATATTAAAAAAAATAAGACGTACGGCCCAGATATTTTTGTCTCAAATTAAATAAAAAATGAAATAGCCTGTGGTTTTTTTTTTAAACAAAACTGCTTACTTAACGATGAAAGCAGTTTGTGGTTAATTGTGTGTTTATTTTATCGTTTCATACTATAATCCGAGCCAGTTGCACAAACGTCCATTAAATTTTTCATTAGTTTAAAGCGACATTACCCATACAAAATTCACATTCATTACAGCTTAAAGGCGTCATTAAACCTTAATGGACGTTGGTGCGTTTGACCATCAGTCGAATAATTATTCTAAATAAGAGCGATTTAATATGATGACATTAATAAGTGCAAGTATAGTTGTCATGATTAGTAAAAAATATGCTTTTTCTTAAATTATCAATATCCAACCTTCTTCTAACTTACAAACATATTTTATGCATCTAACCAATAATGGTGTGTTTCATAATCAATGTTTATAAGCCAAATACATCGGCTTAATACAACCCACATGATAATTTGCTGAACAATGTAATGATCCATAGTAACAATTATGTTCTTGAATAGATAACATTATGCGCGTGAAGAAATTTAATAACAAGGCATTGGAAATTATGTTAGTGTTTAAAGCTATGTAGATGTTTATCAATGTCTATAATTCAATAAAGAAGATAATAGTGAAAAAATTTTGACCTTAAAGTAAACTTTAAATTATTTTTTTATTACCTAAGTACATATTAGTACAGTTAATTAAAGGTAATCGATTAAGGCGCTCGATGGTGCAGTGGTTAGCGCGATCGGAACTATGCGGATATTAAGCAATATTTTCAAAGGCCGATCATCGGATGGGTGATCATGAATTTTATTACCCTAGAGTTCTTTCGTGCTTTAGAAGTTTTTAACACCCACCATCTACACTGGGTCCACGTGGTGGGGTCATGCTCATTCTCCGTATTCGATTTTATCGATTGTGTAGACCTGTGCCCTAGAAGTGACCTCAATAGATTGATGTATATTTTATGTTTTTGAATACAAACATGAATCGTAATTATAAAACATAACTAAAGGAGAATGAGCGTCTTAGTATGGGGTTCGGTTTAAGTATTTTAGCACTTTGAGTGATACATCATTTGAAAGATTTCTGCTGACGATGCTGAAATCTACGTCTATAAAAAGATATATGAGTTCAAAATTCCATTTTGTCAAGTTGAAACTAAACCAATTTGCCCATTGTCCATTTGTAGCTTACAACTGGTTACAAAATTCTGTGTTTACATTAAATTACTTAAAATTTAATTACATACTTACCAACTTAATACGTCCAGCCATTACATTCAACTTACCATTTACTACAAGCAACAAATAAAACC